CACGCAGACCTGACCAGCACAAGAGAGGATTGGAGTAAAAAGCAGCATTGCTCTGTACCTATCTGTGTCATTGTTCAGCCATGTGTGACTCTCTGCGACCCCATCTGGGGTTTTCTTGGCACAGATCCTGGAGTAGTTTGCCATTTCCTTCTCCAGCTCATTTGACAGATGAGGAAACTGAGGCAAACAGGGTGAAGCGACTTGCCCAGGGTCGCACAGCTAGGAAGTGTCAGAGGCCAGATTTGAACTCAGGATGTTGAGATTTCCTGCCCCCAAGCCTGGCATTCCTAGGCACCTTGTACCTGATCACGTCCCTCTATTTGGTTTGCTCTGACATCAACAGCAAAAGGAAAGGACTCGAATAATTCGTCCATAGAAAGACCTGAGGTCACTTCCATACAAAGGAGCTAAAAACCATGAAGGGCTCTCAGTTCGGAATGAACACTCTGAAGATAGCAAAAGTCATACTGTAAGTAGTTACAAGAAGCCACTTTCCCTGACTCTTAATCTATCTATCCATCTTCCCTGCATCAATACACTTGAAAATGTCTTCTGCTCTTACATCTGTGTCCACCACAGCTCCTCGAAGCCTTCCCCAGTCCGACCTCTGTAGCCACGCCTGAGGTCTTCCGGAAGAATGGCTGATGAGCTCAAGGCCAGATCCCACAGTCTCATCTCTGTGCTCATACTCCTTGACTTCTCTCTGGCGACGCACACTGCTGAGTCTTCCCTTCCTTTCCGTGACGCCGAATTCTTCAGCTACGCTTCTTCTGGGCCTACCCCGTCTAATCTCCTTCAGCTCCTTAAGGAAGAGTAGAGTCCAGTGCGGCAGACGCGGCTGTTGGTCCTGGCTCTTTCTGAGTCACTGACTGACCTCTGCTGTCTCATCCACTTCCCTCACGTGGTTTTAATGACTACACTTCTGCATAATGTCTTCCGAATCTCTATCTCAAGTCCTGACTTCAATTCTGAAGCTTCCCCAGTGCTTAGACTCAACCTGTCCAAACCGCTTATTCTCCCCTCAACACTCGCCCCTTATTCTGGCTCCACTGGGTCCTCGGGACTTGAGGAGGCACCCCTGAAGCCCCAAGAATGATTGTGCATTCTCTTCCTTACATTCCACAGCCAGAAAGGAGGGGGGGGATGTCCTGCCAATGCCGTATCTGCCCAACTTCTGGCATTATTCCCACCTATGTGACTCCAGCAAAGCCTCGTCTTTGTCTGCCCACATCACGTACTCACCTGGTAAAACTGATTAAGAAGATCCATCTGTATAAAAATATCAACAGCATCAATAGGGAAAAGCTCACACACGTGCCCTGCACTTGTGGCTGACGGATGCACAAGAATTATTATGGCACCGTAAGTGATGAATGGGACAGTTTCTGTTAACACTAGAAATTAAGCTCCAGGAAGAATATGTGACATGATGAGGAACACAGACACTACACAGAATGATGGCAAGCATGTGAAGGAAAGCAGCGCCAAAAGCCAGGATTCAGGGCGTGCCAGCATGACATCACTCAAGTTCAGAAGCACACACCCTTCCTTTCCTTTAACAAGTGCCAAGTTACACGAGTGTGAGGTGGCCTGCGGGACCAGATGGACTTGCTGGAGAAATGAACTGAGTCTGCCTATTTTGTGAAGCCAAAATGCATCAACACTAACACACACAAGCTCTGCATGAAGGCAAAGCCTGTACTTTTAAAACGATCTATCAGCCATAGCCCCAAACGGGTTGGAACACACATTTAAAAAAAAATTATTTTTAGTTTTCAACCTTTACTTCCACAAGATTGAGTTCCAAATTTTCTCCCCATCTTGCCTCTCCCCCAACACCAAGTTTGCATTCTGAACACCCCTTCCCCTAATCTGCCCTCCCTTCTATCTCCTCCCCCCTTCTATTTTCCTATAGGGCAGGACAGATTTCTATATCCCACTTCCATATTTCTTATCTCCCAGTTGCATGTGAACACAATTTTTAACATGTTTCTAAAACTTTGGGTTCCAAATTCTCTCCCTTCTTCCTTCCCCACCCACCCTCATTGAGAAGGCAAGCAGCTCAATGCAGGTTATACATGTGTAGTCACGCAAAACACTTCCATAGTAGTCATGCTGTGAAAAACTAAGTATATTTCCCACAATCTTAAACCGCGCCCATTTATTCTATTCTCTTTTGACCCCCATCCCTCCTCAGAAGTGTTTGCTTCTGATTACCCCCTCCCCCAATCTGCCCTCCCCTCTATCATCCCCCCTGCTCTCTTATTCCCTTCCCCCCTATTTTCCTATAGGGGAAGATAGATTTCCACACCCAATTGAGTGTGTCATTCCCTCCTTAAGCCAAATCCGATGAGAATAAGATTCACTCATTCCCTCTCACCTTCCCCCACTTCCCCTCCACTGTAAAAGCCTTTTCTTGTCTGCTTTATGTGAGATAGTTTACCCCATTCTACTTCTCCCAGTATGATCTTCTCTTACCCCTTAATTTTATTCTCCAGATATCAACCCTTCATCTTCAATTCACCCTGTGCCATCTATCTATCTATCTATCTATCTATCTATCTATCTCTCTATCTATCTATCTATCTATGTATCCATATAATTTTTTCCTTCCAACTACCCTAATACTGACAAAAGTCTCGTGAGTTACAAATATCATCTTTCCATGCAGGAATGTGAACAGTTCAACCTTAATAAGTCCCTTATGATTTCTCTTGCCTGTTTACCTCTTCATGTTTCTCTTGAGTCTTGTATTTGAAAGTCAAATTTTCTATTCAGCTCCGGTCTTTTCATCAAGAATGCTTGAAAGTCCTCTGTTTCACTGAATGACCATTTTTTCCCCTGAAGGGGTTATACTCAGTTTTGCTGGGTAGGTGATTCTTGGTTGTAATCTTATCTCCTTTGACCTCCAGAATATCATATTCCAAGCCCTCCAGTCCATTAATGTAGAAGCTGCTAAGTCTTGATTCTGATTGTTTCCACAGTACTTGAATTGTTTCTTTCTGGCTGCTTGCAATATTTTCTCCTTGACCTGGGAACTCTGGCATTTGGCTACAATATTCCTAGGGGTTTTCCTTTGGGGATCTCTTTCAGGAGGAGATCGGTGGATTCTTTCAATTTCTATTTTGCCCTCTGGTCCTGGAATATCAGGGCAGTTTTCCTTGATAATTTCTTGAAAGATGATGTCTAGACTCTTTTTTTGATCATGGCTTTGAGATAGTCCAATAATTTTAAAATTCTCTCTCCTGGATATATTTTTCAGGTTAGCTGGTTTTTCCAATGAGGTATTTCACATTGTCTTCTATTTTTTCATTCTTTTGGTTTTGTTTTACAGTGTCTTGATTGCTCATAAAGTCACTAGCTTCCAATTGCTCCATTCTCATTTTTAAGGAAGTATTTTCTTCAGTGAGCTTTTGGACTCCCTTTTCCATTTGGCCAATTTTGCTTTTTAAGGCATTTTTCTCCTCACTAGCTTTTTGGACCTCTTTTGCCATTTGGGTTAAGCTACTTTTTTTAACGTGTTATTTTCTTCAGTATTTTTGGGTCTCCTTTAGCAAACTGTTGACTTGTTTTTCATGATTTTCTTGCATCACTCTTAGTTTTTCCTCTACTTCTCTTCCTTGCTTCTCAAAATCCTTTTTGAGCTCTTCCATGGCCTGGGACCAATTCATATTTTTCTTGGAGGGTTTGGATGTAGGAGCTTTGACTTTGTTGTTTTCTTCTGGTTGTATGTTTTGGTCTGGTCACCAAAGAAAGATTCTATGGTCTGACTTCTTTTGCGCAGTTTGCTCATGATCCCAGCCAATTACTTGAGTTACAAACTCTTTGTTAAGGTAGGGGTCTGCTTCCAGCATTGAGAATGTACTGTTCCAAGCTTTGGGGGTTTTGTGAGCTGTTTTCAGAGATACTTCTAGGGACCTGTAAGTTTTCAGTTCTTCTAAGGTGGTATGATCAAGGGCAAAGTGTTTACTCCTTTCCTGGACTGTACACTAACCTATGAGTGACCACAAGCATTCTTTTCTGCCTTGGAACCACTACATGCTCGACCACACCAGCATTTCTCCTCACCCCTGGACTGCCACCCAGAACTACAACCCAGATCGAAGCAATGCCTCAGCACCAGCAAAGAGATCCCTACAATCCCCCTCTAATCAGTGACTAGATTCCCCCTCTGGGCCGAGCTCCAGAAGCAGCACCCTGGGGCTGTGCCAGAACTGGGGTTGCAACTGAGCATCTCTCTCACCGAGGTCACAGACTTTTCTTACTGACCTTCTAAGCTGTCTTTGGCGTTTGTGAGTTGAGAAGTCTGGAAACTACTACACCTGCCTGTGATTCAGTCCTCTGAGGCCTGCTCCAGCTTTGCTGAGGCCTGGTCTTTGCTTGCTCGTTCCATACTGAACTGCATTCCTCTCCCTGTCCGGCGCAATAAACCTTCTCAATCATCTATCCAGGTTGTCTCGGGCTGGAAATTTGCTTCACTCTGTCTTTTTGTGGGTTCTGCTGCTCTAGAATTTGTTTAGAGCCATTTTCTGCAGGTATCTGGAGGGGTTTGAGGTAGAGCTGAAGCAAGTCACTGCTTTCATTCCGCCATCTTGGCTCCACCTCTGACCACATTTCTAATAAGAGCCTGCATTTATGAGTTTGAGGTTTGTAAACCGTACTACAAATGTTATCTCACAACAATTTGGATTTATTTATTTTTGTCTCTATATCCTCCATGCCTGCCAGTTCTGATCCTCACAACAACCTTGGGGGGGGGTGCTATTACGATCCTCATTGTATTGATGAGGAAATTGAAGCAGATCTAAACTCAAGTCTTCCTGACTCTGTGTCTAACACTCTCCGCTACGACAACCAGATGCTGGATTATGCAACAAACCAAAAACAATATTCTGATGTTATTGTGCAGGTATGTTACATAATACGCAGTTTTGTGTTTTCTTTTTTTACCAAAAAGCCTTTATCTTCCTTATAAGAACCAGTAATTAGACTGACTCATGGAATAACTAAACCAGAATTATTTATTGATAAAATGCTCAAGGGATACAAAACAACCCTGGAAAACAAGGGTTCTCAACATTCACCTCCAGAGGCAGAGGCTGACTATATCTTAGTCAAAGGACACACTTAGGTCTCATGGGATAACAAACCAAATTGCAGTCATGTAAAAAGAATTTAGCAATGTTTTCCAGTTCAGTATTTTAAGTGATAGCTCCCCCTGAGAAGTATTTTTACTTAAATGTACATAGGGCTTAGTTTACTTTTCTCACTTTGCATATATAAATTTTTGCTTTGTTCTAACATAGGTTATAAAGACTAGTGTAATTCAAATAACTGACCTTGAATATAAAACATGTTGAAATGTCATGGAAAAGTTGATAAAAAAGTATGTAATATAGTTAATTATACATTAAGTACTAAATAAAATACTTTTCTTAAATCTATTAATACATTGCATGTGACCACTTAAACTATCAACCGTACTAATCACATAGCTAGAGTGAACACTGGCATGTTTTGAAGGATTACGCCATCATTACAAGTTTGCAATCAATACTTCTTCACCTGTTCTTCGAGGCTTCCTGCCTTTAGCCAAACAGCAGCCTCTCTCACTGCTTTGTTATGGGCCTGCCCCCACTGTGGATCCTCCTTGGGTGGGCCTCTCTGGGACCAGCCTCCCCCTTTGAGCCTCACCTCAGACACCAAGGGGGAAGAGAAGGGAGGCCCAAGCCGGCACATACAAGAGAGAAACAAAGGTGTGGTAGGAACTTGGCCTTTAGGAACTGGAGGGAAACTGAAATGACTTGTAGACCAAGCACTGTTTGTAAATCACGGAAATGCAGGTGAAGAGCAAGCAGACGACATGGTATGTGACGCCAATGCCATCCCCCCCAGCTGCCAGAGAACAAAGTGGGACAAGGGGAAACCCAAGGAGGGGTGTTCTCTTTACCAGAGCTCGGATGCGTGAGGATGAGGTTGGTGTCACAGCCAACATAAAACCTGCTTGCTTGGGTTGGTCTTCAAAATAGCTCGTTTATAAAGTAATGAGAAAACTGTACCCAAAGTAACCGGTGCCAGCATCTCTGAGATCTAGGAATACTTTCTGTTGTAAGAAAAAAGGAGGGTTCTTTCCCTACTGACCTACTAAAGCAGAGTCCTATGGACTTTGCCCTTCTCTGACAATCTCCCCTCATTTATGACCAAAATGCTGTTTTCATTTTCTGTGTGATGGCATGAAGTCATCTTATTTCAAAAAGTACATGCTTTTTGGATCTTACTATAAAAAACTGTGTTTATAAAATAATTTTTTTAAATGACAGGGCCACACTTCCCCCTTGCCATTAGAACCTTAGAAATTACCCCTTCTAAAAGGTTACATTTTAACATGAATTATTTAAAGGTACACACTCTTCTTTGCCTTTCTAAACCAGTGATGTGAGTAACTATACGAATGTGTAAATAAATGCACCCTGGTGGGCAGCACTAAACTGGGTTTTGGGTGTTCCACAGAACAGCTTATGCCAAATAAGAACTTACAACTCCCTTGTCCTCCCCAGGGGCCATGGTGAGAGGGTCCATTAGGCCAGGCCAACAGAGGGCTCTGCTCTGGTGCTGTTAACACCTGGATTGAAAGAAGAATTCGCTCTTAGGTGTGACTCCACAGTACTATTCAATGATGCCCAGACTAGGCAGGCCAATGGGAGCCATACAAATCCAGAACAAATTCATGGCTTAGTTCTAGAAAACCAATTCCACCTAACAGTAATCATTATGTAGGAAAGAACACGAAAACATACATGTTACGGAAAAAGTATAAAATATCAATAAAATACATGTTACAAGGTACATATTACAAAAGGTACCACAACCGATCCTTAGGTAAAAATGGGGAGGAACAATTTGTAGGCCACAGGTATTGCAGAAGGTTGACTTCCTTTCAGCGATTTCATGAAAAAACATATCGGAATGTTCTTTTTCATCTCTGTAAGTGAAAGCTGTAACAACAAAGAAAGCCATCTTAGGTTAACCTTAGAAAACACCAGCACAACACTCCTTTTTGCATAATTACTTAAGACAAGCATACATTTGGTTCCTTACATGACAACGAGTGACAAGAGAATATACAAGTCTGTGGAGCGCTTGCTTTTGAGGAAAGACCCACTGCATCTTTCCGCTCCCCAACTTCCAACAGCTCCCCAGTCTCTCTGAGATCACATGTCTCACTTTCCTTTCCCCAGCCCTCCTACCACCTCCACTCCGATGCCAGCCACAAAACCCAAGGGGGACACTCCACTTTGGCTCGCAGACACAAAAGTGCCTCTCATGTTCAGGGCAGCAGAAGGGGGGGCTGGGGAGGAGACATTTAACTCTGGCGTCTCTGATGGGAGGGCTCCTTCACTTGCTATTGCCTGCTCTGTGTTCTCCTATGTAGATCTTCTCTGATTTCTGTCTGGCCTTCGTTGCTATTTGCAAAGTATGTTCACTGTGGAGCTGGCATCTGGTGGGAAAGGGGCCAAGCTTGGACAGAGAGCTTGGGGTCATAACGACAAAGCCATCAGAAGTCAGACTAAGGGAGCACACAGACAGAAGTGTAGTCTGGCACCCTTTCTCTCCGACGGGAGCAGACAGACCTCTGGCACCAAGCAGAAGAAAAGTCTTCTTTGGAGAAGAGGCTGGAGATGTCACACAAAGACAGGCCTCACTAATCACAGTGGAGCTTTTCCTACATGTCACCAAAGAAGGACAAACATCTCACTTAAAAATACAGAATTAACTCAAAAAACCTGTTTTTACACTGAAGACCATGTTACATTATGGGCAGGGAACCTGCAGGCTTCTTTGTACAAAGCACCACCTCAGCGGACCCTCACAGCAACCTGAGGTGGGTGCTGTTACCGCCCCCATCTTACCCTGGAGGAAACCGAGGTGGGCCCAGCGTCCCAGCCGGGTAGTGTCTTCAGTGCTCTGGGCACTATGGCGCCCCCAGCCGCGTAGCTAAGCCACCACCTAAATGCCCCAGAAGGACCTGTTGTGCTGCCATACACGCAGAGGATGTTGAAACCACACTGCAATCCATCACACGACGATACCACCGAGGCAAGCTCCCCCATGTCCAAAAATGGGCCTTCTCCTCGTGGCCCTCTGGCCGTGGAGGTGTTCTCTGCTTAGGCCACGCTTCCCTCTGGTCTGAGGGCCCACGTTTAAGCCACACAAACCTTCGAGAACCATGCAGGGTTTTCTTGGGGCACTGACTGACTATTCTAGATGCATCTGCTAACAAAACCACATACCCTGAGCATGTTTCCCACCTCCTGGTACTGATGATACCAAGGTCTGGAAAATGATTCTGATTATCAAATGTTAAAATCGGCACCCAAATTTTAAATGTCATAGCGTGTCACCTAACATTAGCTAGATAATAAGTGATGCCCATTTTCATGTGAAACCCTCCACCTGTGACCTAACGAGGACCGCAGGGCAGGGGTGGGTAGGGGAGGGCGTCATCCTCATTCACCATCTTCATGTCGATCAGAGTCGCAAAGGACAAATAACAAGTTTCAAAAAAGCCAGAGCGGTGACGAGACAGCACCGAACGTGGTGCCACGTTGAAGACACTTACCGTTAAGCCTGGTGCCCGTGCACAACAATATCACCGTCTCCTCCCTGCATCTGCATCTGCATCTGCGCCTGCATCCTGGCAATCATCTCCTGCATGCGACGAAGCTGCAAGAAGAGAAGAATTCGGACCCGCTCTCTTAGCCTCCCCCCCACCACGCCCATGCCTCTAAAAGGCGCTTCCCAGGAAACAGTTCTTTTAAAAGTCTGCCTGAATCAGGTAATGGATGCCTTGATCAAGAAGCCAACTTCAAAGGGCAGTGGGCAGCTTTCAGCAGTGATCTCACTGGTTTCCTCCAAGGGCTGGGAGCTCAGGCTTATCCCCAGGAGGCTCACCTGCCTGGGAGGGTGAACAAAGCTGCTGTCTAAGCAGTGGCTCTGTTTATGAGCAAAGTGGAATCAATGTTTTTATACAAGGTCAAACCTGAACAATTCAACAATAACCTTCCAAAGTGTTACAAAGAGGCCTGCTCTGTGCTTTGACTACCCAAGTTTTGGAAGGCACAAGTCCCACACAGGATGAAGATTCTGGGGAATCCAGCATCACAGAAAACCCTACGAGCCACATGGCCATGGCCGGGCCTCTGGATGTAACCACATCCTCGGTGAGGCAGGACCTAGCATCCAAGAGAAGATGCAGCTCAGGGGACCCAAGAAACAGCACCAAGGAAGGCTGGGGGGGGGGGGGGCGGCACAGGCCAGGAACGTAATAGGAATGAAAATTCACAGACCAGTGAGATTTCAATGGCTTCTGACCTAGTTAAGATCGAAGGTAGGAGCCTCGCACACCAAGAGCCTTCTCTGACCTCAGGCACATGCCAGCCCATTCTGAAACACCCTTTAAAGAGATTATAGCCGTGCGGGGTTTTCAGTTCTGCTTATTCACCTGACACATACATTGAAATGGTCAAAAAATTAGACTCATTACAATCCAAATCAAAACTATCCTTTCAAATCTTACCCTCCCCAAGTCTAGACAGACAATGCAGCATGTGATTCAGACATATAACTTCCTCTATGACTGTTTCCATTCATTCAGCGTTGCAAAGCAACGTTGTTCTTTCCTACAAATGTTTTTCTGTTTGTGATTTTGAAAGAAAGAATGATGTGGGAACTTCTACAGTTCACAATGTGGTACAAGCTATCTACTCTGAGAAAAGTATATTTGATAACAAAAAGCAAGAAAGACTCTGCTACACCCCCACACAAAACAATGCAGAGAAATGCAAAGTCCTCCCAGACCCATGTGCGGGAGCGGCCAAGGGCACCAGACGCAGGGAAACAACGCCCTCTTACCTCCGCTTCCTTTTCCAGCAGGATCTGGTCTCTATTCACTTCCTCATTTTCCACTTTCCTAACAGAAAACAGTCAATTATTACCTGCAAACAAGCAGAGGCTTCTATCTGCCCCACTGCCTATGAGCCCTGAAAACGTCTCCCTTGGGATTGTGAGTGTTTGTAAAAATTAGGATGCTTTTAGAAAAGCATTTCCCCCCAGATCAAGAAAGAACAAAAAGGGAAAGGAAATGAAGAAGCTGGAAGAAGACACCAAAAATGGAATCCTTTTATAAAGGTCACATGTCAAGCACCACCTTGTCTCCCCGCCCTGATTCTCCTTGAGGCCTTCTTTCCAGAGCCAAATGGGTGAATGTCCACCACCACCCACACCAAGGACCTGGACTCTGCCCACCTTGACCCAATCACATTTCTCAGAGGGGCCGTTCTTCCAAAACCACCCCATGGGGGCAGGTCCCACTTAAAAAAGCAGCAGGATCTGAATATCAAAGTGATTCAAGCAGAGTGAACAGATGAGCACCAGCACAAAGATTCTAAGCATAAATGTGAAGCAGGCCCGGTTAGACACATCAGGAACTTTTTAGAGCAGAAGGGGGGTCCACGAGTTGCCGCCCCTCCCATGCAGTGGGTGATCTCCCTCCTGGAGCTGCAGCACAGCACAGCAGGCCTAATGACATGCCTCTGTAATGAGGTGTCGGTCTGATAAAAACGACTAACTTTACGTACATAATGCTGATCTGAAAAAGCAGAGTTTAGTCCACATTTCTGGGGACAGGATTCAAGGCTGAGAACTGCAGAGAATTATAGCAGATCTGTTACAAAACTGCTCTGACTTCAAGGAACAATTATTCTGGAGAATGCAGATATAACTGGCACTCCCTTCCCAAGAGCTTTTCTTTCCAAGTTATTAACACTTTCCCTCCTTCTCTACTGTTGCTGACTTTCCTGGGGGAGCAGCTTAATGGCTTCAAACCTGAAGGACCAACCGTTCTGAGCGGATTCTGGCCAACTAAGTCATGCTGCAGCAGGGTAAGATGATGAAGAGGTGAAAGGACATTGAGAAAGTACAGGATGTACAGAGGAGAGAGAAAGGCAGAGAGGACTAAGGTAACTGTAAGATGACAACCTGCCGCCTCTCTTCAGTCTTTCAGAACGGAAATTCTCATAGTGAAGGTCCTGGGTCACCTCCTGGAGATCCTGCATGTGTGTACTGGAAAAGAAAGAAGCTTGGTGTGAAGCTGGGGAGTAGGCCCATGGAGAAGACCTATTTCTTCTAAGGGATGCACTTCATGCTGCTATGCTACTGAGGAAGACAAGGAGGGCTCTCACCCCTCTGCTGTACAAGGAGCGCTGCAGCTCTGTGGATACCCCATTTCCCGTGGTGTCCACTGCTCCTCTCTCGCTCCCCATGCCCATGCTGCCCAGGGGTGCAGCAATGGCTCCCAAGAGAAGCCCCTACTCTGATGTGACCCTGCTGCACATCCCCTTCCACGTTCCCTGACAGTGGGAAAGGAATTCTGTATAAAAATACCTTCTATGAGAATAGTCGAAACAGGAGCAGACAACAGAGATCCCCAAGTTCAATGTGCACATTTTAGAGGGGCAGACACTAAGGTTCTGAGATAGGGTATAGTCCTCTAGGTAGAAAGGCCACAGTCTGAGCTCCCACACCTAGCAAGCCAGAGTTGAGAAGCCTGGGGATAGGAGAGCATCAGGAGATGGCCAATGGGGACCAAGGTTTGGGTCTCAATTGCCCCATCAGAGAATAAGTGTTCCCCCAATTCCCACACATTCCTCCTGGGAAGGAAGAGTAAGACATTTATGCAGTATTTCAATTACTATGCTGAAAAGACTTTCAACTCTTTAAACACCCATTATGACATGACTGATTTAGAGAGTGGTACAATATCCTGCTAGGAAGCAGCAAAAGAACCTTTGGAATGGCTTACATCAGCATCGTTCTCAGTTTTAGGAAGTCATTATGTTCCGGATTCTCCACTTCCACAACTCCCCAAGGATAGAGGCGACCTCTAACCTTTTTGCCTTTGGCTTCAATCAGCTGATTGGATCCAACTACTGAAAATGGAATACTAGCCTGTGAAGAAATTGAAAAATGTTCATTTCCAAGAATATACCAGGATTTCTTCTATTTTCAGCAGGAAAAATCTAGGTACACAAAATACTACTTAGACAAATGTCTGTGGATCACATTCTGTCGTAACAAATACCTACAAAACAGCTTTAAGGACAAAGACTCCTAAACTTACATCACTAACAGCTCGGCCTTGTTTTCAAGTACAGTTGAAACACAAAATCCTACTACCATGAAATAACCAGGGCAATCCCTAAAAGCTCTGTGTCCCAAGATGTTTAACTGTGGACCATTCTCAATTCGATCCAGACCAACAGCAAGGACTATGTTTGAGCCTTCTTAGCTGATTCTTACCTTCAGAAGTCTAGTCTGTTCTTTAAAATCCTCATCCTCGTCTGACTCTGCGTCAGGCAAATGATAAATCTTGATACCATGCTCTTCGATTTCATCCAGAACCTGAAGAATGAGGAGAGTGTGGGCAGTCAGCAGAGGGGCACAGACCCTGAATTTGATCGGTGCAGAGAAACATTCTTCCACCAATTGGTCAACCAGCCTTCATCCAGCATGTTCACTGAGCCCTTCACTGTGCCAAGTGACAGGAGAGGCAGGGATGTGGGCACAGAGGGCAGGGCTGGAGTGCTGTGGCGCCAAGGGAGGCAGGAAGAAGGGAGGCCTGGGAGGGCTTCAATGGCTAACAGGAGTTTCTCTCTGGCCTAGCAGCTTGAGATTACAGAGCAGTGGCTGCACGATGACACGTGCACCTCAGGAGATCACATGGCAGTCAGGGGAGAAGGCAGGGTGGGGCGCTGACCAATGCACCGTGGACCATGAAGTCTCCACAGGGGTTGTTCCATAGTAGCTCCTCACAGGCCGGGGCCACCAGCCCGACTCTCTGAGCCTCACCTCCACCAACCACTCCTCCAAAGAGCTCCACATCTCTAGTCACCCCTACACCTGAGCAAGAGGGGAATGCCTTTCTTCCCAAGGCCAACCTTTCTTTTACCCTTAATCTCGCCCTGCCCTGGCCTGCTCCAGGAGCTCGCTGTATCCATCACACATCTTCACTATCTCCTTCTTCACTGCCCCCAGACATCAACAGGTCTGCCTACTGTAACTGTAAAAACCCTTCATCTGACCATTGCCCCAAATCTCTTTTCTCCTTCACTGCCCAGCTCCCAGAAAGCCTGTTCTTCACCACTTACTCACTCCTAAGGACCCGTCCATTTCTTCTCAGTCTTCTTGGCCCCTGAGCCTGGGGGTCCTCCAAGGCTCTGTCCCAGGGCCTCCGCTCTGTTCTCCCTACTCTTCTTTCTCTTAATAATCTCATCCAACGATCGCCTTTAAAGCCCAAATCTTGATAATCCATCTAACCGCTTCCCCAAATTCCATTTCCACACCACCACCTGCCTATGGGCCATCTTTCCCTCTCCGTTTCATCAGTATCATGACCTCAATACGTACAAAGAACTCCTCTCTGTCTCCCCAAACCCACTGATTTTTCATACTTCCTTAGTCCTGTTGAGGGCTCTTGGGTCTTACTAGCCTTCCCACTCCATCTCAGAGTGATTGCTGTCTTTTTTCTGCCTCGCACCTCACATGGTCAGCTGACAAGGCTTACAGATTCTACTTCCACATGTCATACTCACTGTCCCTTCACGTGGCTATAGCCTTAGCTTAGACCTTCATGATTTCTCACCAGAACAATTTTTAAATAGTTTTCTGATGTTTTTCTGCTTCCAGCTTTTTCTCACACAGCTACTCAAAGAATTTCTCTATGGCACAGGTATGACCATGCCTCCCCTTGCTCAAAAGCCTTCAGGAAGGCCTCTCTCTTGCTTATAGGATAAGTCAATTAATTAACAAGCATTTATTAAGGTCCTAGTACAGTGCAAGCCACTTCCTGACCAGATAAAAGAGGGAAGGCTGGTTTCATGAATAGAAATAGGGAAGGAAGAAAAGGGGAGTTTTGTGGGATTGGAATCAAGAGACTGAAGAGTGGGCAGTCAACAAATGGTAGTGATGAGCATAAGAGCCAGTCAAGAGGAAGGAACTGGCCTATTCGCCTCTTCCCCAAGCAGCCCTGGAAGGCAGTCCCTCACGCATTGGTCAGAATCCTTGCCTTCCTCTGAGGCTCTATGCAGATGTCCACTCCTCCTTAAAAGGGGGGTCTCTTCCAATGACATTGTGAACTTCCAGAGAACAAGGACTGCCTCAGTTATTCTATCCCAGCCTAACAGAGTGTTTGCCACATGTTAAGTGCCTGACTCTATATGTCTGCCATAGGGGAAAAGGGAGAGAAGGTGGAACTTCATTTAAAAAATTTAATTAAAAAAAAAATTATTTTCTGACCACTCTGTCTGGGTGACTTGGGCTTGACAGACCTGGTTCTGCCCCTTCTCAACCCTTTCCAGATAATGGCCCTTCCAGGCTGTCTCCCGGCTTCTGTCCTCTCGGGAGACCAGCTCAAGTTTCTCCAGTGATTCTTCCTTTGACATGGTCTGACCGCATCACAGGCTGGTAGGGCTGCAAGTACACTGGCCAATCTGATTATTTTTATTGGTGAAGCTTCAGACCAGCCAAGGCTTACTGGTGATCAGTACTGAATTTACAACTAACTCAATCTGTCATCTTGTATTTCCATAACTGATTTTTGACTTTAAGACAGAATTTAATTATCCCTATCAAATTTTACTTTGTTCTCAAAGAGGCAACACAGTGTAATGGATACAGTCCTGGCCCTAAGAATCAGGAGGCCTGGGTTCAATCAATCAATAAACATAGATTAAAAGTCTGCTAGGTGCTGGGCACTGTGCTAAGGCATGAGACACAAAGATGGGCCCTCAAGGAGGCCCCAATCTAATTCTTGAGACAACATGCAAACAAGTAAATACAAACAAGCTCTATACAGGATAAGTAGGAAGTAGTGAACCGAGGGAAGGCTTCCTGTAGAAGGCAGGATGTTAGCTGTGGCTTAAAGGAGGCCAGTGGTCAGAGCAGAGGGAGAGTGTCCCTGGCCTGGGAGGCAGCCAGAGAGAAGGCCCAGAGCCGAGAGGGAGTGTCTTGTCTGCGGGGCAGCCACGAGGCTGGGGGCACCGGAGAGCAGTGTACGTGGTACAGGAAGACTGGAAAGGGAAGGGGAGGGGCTCAGTCATGGGGGCTTTCAATGCCAAGCACAGCATTCGTATTCAATCTTGGAAGTAATAGGGAGCTAACAGATTTCACTGAGTAGATGTGTGTGTGCGCGCGCGCGTGCACGCACGCGTGTGAGCAAGCTCAAGCGCTTGCTCCAGCAAGCGAGCGCGACGGTCGCATCCGCACTTTAAGGAAAAATCACCGCGGTGGCCGAGCAGAGGGACGGCAGATGCACGAGCAGATTGTTGCAACGATCCAGGGCGTGCGCCACCCGGGTGGCAGCGGCGTCGGAGAAGAGAAGGGTTAAATGCCACCAGCCATCCGAGAAGCTGATCGCAGGGACATCGCCATCTTTCAAAGTCGGTTTCCTCATTTGTAAAAGGAGACAATTTCCATGGCCTACCCGGCAGGGTTAGGTCTGTGAAACATTTCAATGCTATACAAGCAGGAGCTGTCACTGCTCTTAAATTTCTGCGGATTATTTCAGTCTTTTGCAGTATTTTCTGGGTCTCGATTCTGTCATCTAACGCAGATGTCAAACTCCTGTGCCAAGAGAACTGCCCCACCAGATTAAAATGGAAAACATTCAACAAAACAAACAAAATACAACACGGACCATGTCAATCTGTGGCTTTCTAAGTCACCATGATCCATTTCTCTTCGAGCACAGCTGTCAGTTAACAATGATGGGGCTCTTCACATATACCATCCCCCAACAATTCCACTGTCACCACCCCATTTTACAGAAAAGGAAAATGAAGCTTAGGGAGATGAGCTGATTTGCCTGGGGATGCACAGCCAGTTCACGTCTGAGGCAGGATCTGAACTCACGCTGCCTTCAAACTTGAGGAAGATGCTGCCTACATTTTCTTCCAAGTCTAAACAGAAAGGACAGAGCTGCCAAGGATGGTCACACAGCACACAGCTGAGCAACTCTTTTCTCCAAAGACAAGCCGCCCCGACACCCTCGGGCTCCAGCCTCTGCAGGGGTCTCTGCTGGCATGGTGACGCGTTGCCCAGGTCACCCCCCCCCCCCATGCCTCAGTTTGTGGCACGACCAAAAGAAGGAAGGAATGTCGGTTTCACCTGGTTTAAGAAGGGAAGGGGAGGGGAGGCCACCAGGATCCACCTAGAAATCCCAAGTGGTCACGAACCATCCGTTCAAATGTGCCTAGAAGTCTGCCAAGGCACAAAGTCAAGCTTCACTGGTGACACTTCCCAGATTCTACTTCTCTGTCATTTTTGAAAATGGAGGTCATATCGCTTCCCTCTCTTGGCTGCTCTGACACTTTTTCAATCATTTTAACAGTCCCATCATTCTACCATTCTTGCTCATGCCTCACCTCCTCCCTGACCCTGGGGCTTCCCGTACAGCCTCAGTGCCCGGCTCCTCCCCTCTCCAGGCTGCACATGACTCTGCCGAAGGTGAGGACGAGCCACAGAGGAGCCTGGCTGCCCTCTTTTCCTTAGGATTTCTTTGAGCACACACAACCAAGTCTTTAGCATTCTTCCCAAGTCCCTGTCTATTCTTCAGACGATATTCTCAGAGCCCATGCCCTTTTTTTGGGTGGTCTGGAGAAAGTACTGAAAGGTCTCCTCCTGTAAACAACAGCCAACCCCCCAAGTCTGGCTGTAAAGACAACAAAGCACAGCATCTTTCCGGCTGGGCCTCGATTCTGGAGGCAAACAGAAGAGCCGAGCAGATGCAGACTCACCCTCTTCTTCAGCCGCTCTCTCTCCTTCAGGGTCAGAGTGTCAGCTTTGGCAATCACAGGCACAATATTCACTTTATTGTGAATCGCTTTCATAAACTCCACATCTAAAGGTTTGAGTCTGAAAAAAGCACAAGGGTCACAGCAGGTATTTGAAAGAACCCAGGCCCAAAGTTTTTCAAATTTAGTGCAATTCTCAGGAGGGAAGACACCTACAGGAACTCTTTCCAAATCTAAAGGAACAGCACTGGGGCCACCTGATCCAAGCATCGCACTTAACACAGAGGCTTACAGAGCATGAGAAGCGCCTACCCGTGTCCAAAAGGTGAAATAAAATAGAAGCAGCAGTGGACGCGGTTATCTATGATGTGCCGTCGGTTCAAGCCACTTTCATCATGCAGATACCGTTCAAACTGCTCATCGATGTAGGAGATGATCGTCTTGAAGCTAAGAACAGCACATGGACTTTACAAATCGAGCCTGTCCCCCCACGGTACCTCCCCTTCCCGAATGAATTCGGCTATTCACAACTCGGAGTGCGCTGTGCTTCAGAAAATGCTGTAAACGATGGCCAAGTTTCCTAAAAAACCTGTAAAAAGCTATTTAATTCCATGCAGCAGCAACAACTCTGAGCTGATTATTTTTTGCCTTCTTTCCCTTCACAACATTTCAAGTAGGTTCTAGGTTAAAATAGGCTTCTATAGTAAGGCTAGACTGAAAATGGTTCTTTTGGTAGAAGAGTAGGGAATGCTGCCTGGGGAGAAGGGAAGGCTTCCGAGAGCATGGATTTTTAAGGTGCCCCAGCACAGTTACGAAGGGAAGGGCGGGCACTTGTATATCAAGAGCCTTACTACACTGGGAATGCCCCACTCTCGGCACCATGAACAGCATTTGGCCACACTTGTATCCCAGGACATTCTCAGAAAAAATGGATGGTAAGTCTCGTGTAAGACGACTTCAAACAAATGTCCTTGTTTATTTAATGCTCCTTGAGCCTCTGAGAGTTAAAATCCTTTAACTTCCTAAACACAAACACCTCAGCATTTTGTGCCATTACCAAAGTCAGGAATCGCTCATTAATGATAATGAATTAAAGTAATTCAGATTTTTATTTTCAGTCACTGAGCATCAGGCTGTCCTGTAAACAGCACATAGCACATACCAGTCACGGCAGTTAATTGCATCCCCATAGCCTGGTGTGTCGACAACAGTAAGACGGAGCTTGACCCCTCTCTCTTCAATCTCCACTGTGGATGCCTCAATCTGCACCGTCCTTTCTATTTTCTCTAGAAAAGAAGACATTTCAGGAGAAGGATTAAATGATGATCGGTGTTCTTATAAACATGCGTGTGAGCACAGAAGGAATGGGCTAGAGATGGCAGGATCAGGGCAGAATTAAGAAATGCTACTTGAGTTAGTGAAGGGACAAGTAAGAACCAGGACTGATGTGCTGTCTGTAAAGGTAAAAACCCAAAGTTGTACCAACAGCATGCGGGTTTAACTCGTGAAGCACTGTCAAACTGAGACTGAGCTGGAAGGCTGCTTAGAGGTCTATCTCATTTTGTAAACAAAGAAAGTGGCCCAGAAGAGGGTGCCCTGACCAAAGTCACCGATGGAGCACAGGATGAGCATTTTGTAAGTGCCTCTGACGTGCCAGGCCCAGTCCCGAGCACTTTACAAATATCGATTCCCTTGATTCTCACGATTCTGTGAGGTAGGTGCTCTTATTCCCCCCCCCCCATTTAGTAAAGTGACTTGCCCTGGGTCACACAGCTAGTCAGTGTCTGAGGCTGGATTTGAACTCAGGCTCCATCCACTGGTGGTAAACAGCAGCACCAGGGTTTGAATTTAGCCCTCTGACCACACAGCCACAAATCCTCTCAGGGTCATGAGGGTGCAGTCTACAGGGTAAGAAAGACAGGAAATAGTTTAAAATATCCATGAGCTCTCTCCAGGACCAGCCACACAACCTAAGGCACCCATTCCTGATCTTCAAACTCATTCTGAGGCCAGCAGCGTGGTGCCTGAGTTCTGACCTTAAGAAGGCAGGAAGGCCGCAGTGTAGGACTATCAATTAAGCGCTATGTCAGAACGCCATCGCTCACACAGACTCACACCTAAGACAGTGCAGGAATCTTTTGTTTACCTGCTGCCCCGGGAATGACCCTTTCTGGGTACAAGTCCGTCAAGAACAGGCTATTGATGAGAGTAGATTTTCCCAATCCGGATTCCCCTAGAAAAGAAGTACAGGAACACTCAGGACTCCAAACACGAGGCACAAGTCACCTCTACACACACACACACACACAAAATATGTTGGTCTTTGCTCACTTCCAGAACAGACCATAAATGGAAATCTTCAGCTGTGATTTTCAGGAAGACTTTAATGACATCCAGCATAAATATACAACAAGAGCTTTGCAGAGCTGCCTAAGGAAATGAGAGCTTAAGCGATGCCCCTGCTGTCACCATGCGAGCAATACGTGTGAGGGGGATGTAAGCCAAGGTTTTCTTGAGCTCTGCCCTCATTGTTATGGGACATAATACCTATGAGAAGAGACCGAGGAGAGTGCCTTGGCACTCACAGGGAGGAGCACGCAAGTGTGCACACATGGGAGGACATGGTGCAGAGGGACCAGGAACCAGGAGGGAGTTAGTGAGAAATGGTCATCATTGTGGGAGGAGAACCAGGACAGAATAATGGGACTGAAGCTTTAGGACGGGTGAAGAGCACAGAAGGGGTGGCCTTTCTCCCGCTTATCTATGAAGGCAAAAACTATGTCTGAAGAGGCCACTGGAGGTCTTGGAGACAGCAGCTTTAGGAAAGGGGCATAATGAGAAGTCAGACCCTTTCTTAAGTAATTAAGAAATGAATGGACAGTGAGGAAGCAGAGGCAGAGGACAAAACGGAGCAAGGGGACCATCGATGGCTGGAGGCACAGCTGTGTGGATGAAGAGGCCTTATTTTTAATATCAAGGAGAGCTGAGAGGGAATGGGTGATCAAGCAAGAGCCTGGAGCGGGGAGCCGGTGGGGACGGTTAAAGGCGTCAATCAATGAGTTTTCAGATACCGGGTCAAGACTGAAAGGTGGGAGGATGGAGCAGGACAGCAGGGAGAGAGAGGGGGCGAGCAGGAAATGGAATAATCAAGCACAATTTTGAAGCTCCACATCTCGGAACAAGGACAGCTCTGAGAGCCGGGAAAAGGTCAGGTTTGATCATCCTCTGGGGGTGGGCTGAAGCTAAGCAGAGACAGCAAAGAAGAGACTGAAAAGAGGCCCAAGGTGAGAGAACTTCATAAGGTGAAGAGTGAAATCACTGTGATGGGATAATGGCACCGTAGGGACATGGAGATACAAGGCCAGGCACAGCAGTTACGGGGTAGAACGAGAATCTTCTGGAGACAACAACAAGAACGGGACAGAAGATGACAAGTGGATGGGATCAATTTCAAAGAAGGAAAAGCTGAGTGACTGAGACTGAACAAAGATGGGGAAGTGGCCATACAAGAAGCATGCTGATGTCTCCTCCTGGCCCTGGGGGTTGGTGGCAAGCCTACAAAAGGAGTGGGAAGCAGGCGAGGGGCACCTGCAGGGGTGTGGTACTCAGGAGAAAGCGAGGGTAGTGCCAAGAGGTAGAGAATACTGACACAGTAACAGCCATACTTGGCTTAAATGCCAAATCCAAGAGTCGGCTCTATTTGCTCATGGGGAGGTAGTAGGGAATCACTGCATCCTGAATGAAACAAGCCCACCGCTGGGCTAGTGTGAGCAGCCACGTTACTCCTATCTTCTCCTTCCATTTTCTAGGGCTGCGAATCACAAAGGCCAGGACATGAAGCCAACTCCTCAGCATCTCACAGGGACACCGCCAGGATTCCAGCCCCATTCCTGATGCCAGAGCAGCATTCTCTCCCCCACCTACCAGATGGCCACACTGACTCAGCTTGGACCTGTCTGGAGCATTCACGACTCCCTTCAGAGTCCTAGGAAAAGGATAACCTTGGACTTTTCAGCCCATCTTGATCTAATCCTGGGGGCCAATTAAGTTTAAGCAACTTCCTATGAAAGAGAATTGGGCAACAGGAGAAACTAAGGTTGCAGAGAGACTGTCACAAAAGTGCAGGATGCCATCTTGCTGCGTCTGCATGGTTTTCTCCCGTGTGCTTATCTCATGGTTCCCCTCTACACCCTTTTCTCTTTGGGGGCCCACAGGTATGGTGTCCTTCCCTGCAGCTGGCCAGGAGGGCTCACGCTACTATTCTCCCTCCAAAGGACAGAACGCTGACTGCCTCACTAATACACACATCTTCCATTCCAACGGTTCCCTCTAGGTCACAGGGTCACCCTAGAGACTGAAATCCCCTATGGTCAGGACAGAGTAGGGGAGCCTATTTTATGATCATAACCTCTAGAGACGGGCCGTAAGGCCTTCTTCGCTAAGTACAGATTACCACATAGAGAACAGATAACAGTCCCCAGCTATGTCAGGGCTAGAATTCAAGCTTAATTCTTTACAGGGTCACGCTAGCAATAGGCCAATTCTACCACAGGTGATCACTAATATTTCACCCTTGAGTTGACTGAGAACACACACAGATGCCAATGCTGGCAATCACACCTAGGGTGTACAGACAGCTTGGTCTAGAACCTCGTACACTTACCACTGTTTGTTTTACGACCTGTGGACCACTGAAGTGCAGTGATAATTTCCCTAATATTCTATAGAGTAAAGAAAACCACTCATTCCACCTATCCTTTCCTTGTCTTTCTGAACCTTCTGTTCCAGGTTCTCACTAAGCCTCCAGCTGACAGCCTGCCTGGGCACTGGTTCAGTATCCTTTGCAAAGTGCACCTCAAGTTTTCCGTGCCTAATTTCTAGTTTGGAACCGAAGTGCTTCTTTATTTTTCCTGACCGCGCTGTCTCTGCTCTCTTCCCTTTGGTGTACCCTGGCGGTCCTTAGGCTGGCTGGTTTTAGTTTTGTCTATGGGTTGTGATCTGACATCTGTCTGGTGCTGGAAGGGTCACAAAGCGCTCTGCTTAGAGCACTGTGCTTGGTACAATCCTGCAAGGCCCCGAAGGTGTTGATGCCTATCCCAGGGGATTCAGGTGAAATGTCTTGTTCAGGGTCATAGAACGGTGAACATCCAAGGTGCCACAGAACGGATCTTGCTGGATTCTAAGTCCATCTCCTCTAGGTTTCCTACGGCTATTATTAACTCGCTCCACTAAAACTGAAAAAATTCGTGTGGTTTTGCCTCCTGAACCAGGGAGGCTGAATCTGGATTGAGATTATTATTCAGGACAAGTGTGATAAAAATCACTTCTATTTAGGAAGCAGTTGTTTTATCTTACTATGATTACTCATTATCAACATGCTCCAAAAATTCTCCCATCAATATCAGATTATTACCTAGAATTCGGGGGGGGGGAGTGCAGAGAAAGAAAATTACAATGAACTTCTAGGTCTGCAGTAATATCAGCTCAACAATGGATGAGACAACAGGCTAAAGTTCAATTGACCAGAGCTGCTTAACTTAAAATACAATGCCCATAATGCTATGTTTAGTTTCCTCCTCCTTCTGCTCCTCTCTAAAAGATAAAACAAAACCAGGAGCTAAGATGTTAACAGTTTTCTTCCCTCTCAAGATACGATTTCCATTTTTGATACTACAATTCTGGAAGAGAGAGTCTCACGCTAATAGCTCCAAATTAATTTCACTAAATTTCAGGGCACAGGAGGCCACAAAAATTTCTTACCAACTACCATCAGTGTGAACTCAAAACCTTTTTTCACAGATTTTCGGTGGACTTGATTGGGAAGATTTGCAAATCCAACGTAGCCAGGAGTTTCTGGATTTGTAAACTGAGCAGGCTGTTGCTGAAACAAAATTCAAAATATCGTGAGTAATATTTTTAGTAATAATATTAGTATTTATATTGTAGTAATAATATTAATAATTAAGTTTCAATTAATCAGTCAGGACAACAAAACTATAACAAGTACAAAATTATCAACCATAATTTTTTTCTTTTCTTTTTAAACTTATCTTTTTAAAAATCGTTTATAAACTATCAAAACCAGCACAAAGGATAAGCTAGGAAAAAACCTTTGGGTGGTGGAGGGTGTATAGATGAGGGATACTTGCCAATATTATTTAATGCATATATACTAATATAGTATACAACACACACATCATGCTACATTACAACATATAACAATTTGTAATTAATATTCTAATTAAGCCATACATATAGAGATACACAACCATGTATTGTGAGGATACAGTTTTTACAGTGATGTCTTTAGTGAACAGAAACACAGAGGCATGATTTCAAATCTTGCTTTAGGGGCAACATGTCTCCTGGCTCATCACAAGACCTCACTTGCTCAGTGCACAGGGCAAGGGAGCGCTGGACGGGGAATCAGAGAACCTCCTGAACGCGTCACTACCAAGGCGTGTTTTGGTGAGTCTCTGAGCAGCAGAGCAGTTTCCTCATCTTTAACGAGAAGGGATTGGCCTAGATCATCGCCCGAGGTCTTTCCATCTCTAAATCGAACATCTCATCCAACTTACACCAATTCTGAGTGACTTCTACCAACGTGACTCTCCTTTCAGGTGAAACCTAAGCTAGGGAGGCCACAGGACTTGTCAGTTACGTGGTTACTCTTAATGTGTCCTGGGGCAGAATCAAACCCAGCTCTGTTCACTACAAATGACATCCAGGTTTTCTGGATTTGTAAACTGAGCAGGCTGTTGCTGAAACAAAATTCAAAATATCGTGAGTGAAAAACTCAAGTGATCAGGCGGGCGGGCAGGCAGGCAGACAGACAGACAGACAGCAGGCAGCCTCCTCCACTGGAAAATCCCAGGTGTTCTAAATTTTTCCTTATGTTGGAATAAAACCTGATATTTCCATCCCGTTTTTCTTTCACTATTCAACATGTGCCACCCTACCTAATGTGTGTCATGGTGCTAAAACACACCACCTGTGCCTTTATTTAAACCACTGATAAGAACCAACTTTAAAGGGTGATTTCCCGAGCTGGCCACTGCACTTTGGGTCAAAGTTCTCCTAATCGAACTTCCTCAGCTCCCAGGGATGAAGAAGTTCTTCTGAATAATTCTGGGTTACACAGTCACAACTCCTCCTATTTCTTTCCCCTAAGAAAGCTAGAGGGGAATTCAAGGCAAACCATCGCTACTGGGCACCCTCACAGTGGACCTGAAAGTGTGTATATAGGTATATGGTATAGGAACGGGAGGAACAGAGATGGGGTGCAGTTATTTTTAGGCAGCCAGCTTCTTGAATGAAAGGAACTCTGCTCCTTGCAGAAGACTGTCCCAGGTGCTGCCTGGGCCTGCAAATCTGATGGAGAGGTCTGCTCTCCATCTGTGCTATAAACACACAATTAACTAAAAAACTAAATTAAACCTTCCCCATAAAAACAAAAAACACAAACATCAACCCAAACTCCAATGTTCCCATGATCAAAGTTTACATGGAGAAGAGGCTTGAAAAGATACAATATAGCCAACTTATAATCAGACGTATAAAAAAGTAGAGCCTGCTGGGAAGTTACCTGGTCTTTTTGGTTGGCTAAAGACCCAGAATTCATTTCTTGTGAATTTACATTACAGATACATCCACACCCCTCCCCTCATTAAATTAAACCATACTGAGGGGCACAAAAAGCCTCTGAATAAATGACTGCATAGCCTCTTAGTGAATGCTAACACGCTAAGTAAAGTCGTCATCTTCTTTCCATCATCTCCGAGCCTCTTGGTCAAAGCTTTGCAAAGCAAGTAATAAAACTGCGACTTAATTAAAAAAATTCAAATTCAGACAGGCTTTCCCCACAATTAGTTTGAATGCACCAGGTTTTATTATCTACTCCCAAACTTCTCCAGCTCTTTTGTTGTTTTATTTCTGTGTGCTTTTCCTATCTTACGATGTGTTGAGGTGCCACCACTATCCTTCCAGTCATCCCAGCTCCCCCTTGCCTCCCCATCCAATACGTGGCTGAGCCTCCTTTCCCCCTTCATGGCATCTCTTGTACAGGCTTCCTCTCTCTCAGCTCATAGCCACCACCCACATTACCTCACCTAGATTACTGCAACTGCCAGCTTCAAGGCTTTCCCCATTCCAACCCATTCCCTTAGATTCAACTGCAAAAGGTATTGTTCTAAAGTAAAGGTCTGTTCAAGGAAAGCAAAATTTAATAAAAGTTCATCAATATTTTCTCCTCTGCATATTTCAGATGGTTCATAGTTTTAAAAAAACCTTCTATATGTTATCAATACATTAACATGCTTGGCATCAAGAAAAAGCTCACACAGCAAGAACCTAATCGCTTTAATGCAAATGACAATGAGAACTAGTAACACTAAGCTGTAAGCAAAGCCTATAAAAGAATTTATTTTAAAAATTATTCTTATGCCTATCAATTAGAGAATGGCTGAACAAGCTGTGGTATATGAATGTAATGGAATACTACTGTGCTATAAGAAATGATGAGCAGGCAGACTTCAGAAAAACCTGGAAAGACCTGTATGGTCTGATGCTGAGTGAAGTGAGCAGAACCAGGAGAACGTTGTTCTCAGTAACGCTGTGCGATGACTAACATTGATAGACTTGGCCCTTCTCAGCAATGCAAGGATCTAAGATATCTCCAAAGGTCTCATGATAGGAAATGCTATCCATATCCAAAGAAAGAATGATAGAGTTTGAATGCAGATCGAAGGATACTATTTGCTATTTTTTTCTCTTGTTTTGTTTCCTCTTTCTGGTGGTTCCTATTGGTTCTAATTCTTCCTTACAACACAACTAACGTAAAATGTTTAACAGGAATGTATATGTATAGCCTATATTAGATTGCATGCCATCTTGGGGAGGGAGGGGGAGAAAAATTTAAAACTCAAAAGCTTATGGAAGTGATTGTCGATAAATCAAAATAAATTAATAGAACAAAATTTTTAAAAATTATTCTTTTTCTTCTCAAGTCTTAATTTCTTTCATATCAGGCCTAATTTTACCTTAGGCCACGAGCACATGGCTCTGGGCAAATCTGCAAGGCTAATCTAAACTAACTCATCAAATTAAAGAGGAAGCAGTAAATGTCATGAAATTTAAATAACAAGAAATTAAAATTGCTTTATGATTTATCTATCAGTAGTGATCCGCAGAGGCTGCATCAGTCTACCAGAATACATGGAAATAAAACCCACCTGAAACCAAAGATAAAAATCACCTGTTAAAGTAGCCCAAATCCCCTTCTATGCCAATTAAGCAAATATATAGTTTTTAAAACATGTACACAAACACATACATAATGGGAAAACTAGGAATTTATTCGAACATTTAAATCATAATGTATGTGAAGATAATCTCTTACCTTAGACATCTTCAATGAAGTTCAGTTACCTGTAATAAGAGTTTTAATTTATTACCATTTGGATTACAAGAAAGGGCTACTAAGGCATTACTTTTCACATAGATTCTGGACTGAATTAAGCAGTGTAGTACAGCAGAAATAGCACGGGTTCTGGATTCACAAGAACCAACTCTGAATTCTAGAGATAATACTTAGCAGAGTTCTGAGATTCAGGGAAACTCATCCAACTCCTCGGAGGCTGGTTTCTTGGGTTCACAAGATGGGGATTCTCACTAATCTACCTCACAGAGCTGAGAAAATCAGTTTGGAACTATAAAAGAAGCGTCAAGTACTTTAGTTCTTCCTAAAATTTTAGAAATTATTTCTATTTTAACATCCCTTCAAAACTGTTTTTAAGTTCCAAATTTTCTCCCTCCACCTCCCCCCAGAAGTCAAGCAACATATCAGTTATACATGTGAAATCATGCAAAACATTTCCACGTCAGCCACCCTGCAAAAATAAATACATGAAAGCGGAAAAAAAAGTTACACTTCAGTCTGTACTCAGAGTTCATCAGTTCTCTCTCCACAGCTGGGACAGCACTTTTCATCATGAGTCCTCTGGAATTATCTTGCATCACTGTCTTGATTAGAGTAGCCAAATTTTTCAGTTATCATTGTATAACATTGCTATTGCTGCATCCAATAGTCCCCTGGTTCTGCCTACTTCACGTTGCATCAGTTCATTTGTCTTCCCAGGTTTTTCTGAAATCATCCTGCTTGTCATTTCTTACAGCACAATAGCACAATCACACACCACAACTTGTTCAGCCATTCCCCAGCTGATGGGTATCCCCTCAATTTCCAATTCTTTGCCACTACAAAAAGAGCTGCTATATTTGTACATATTGGTACTTTTTTCTTTCTTTGGGATACAGACCTAATGGTAGTGTTACTGGGTCAAAAGGTATGGAGAAAATTTATAGTCCTATGGGCATAGGCCCATGTTGTTCTCCAGAATGGTTGGATAAGTTCACAACTCCACCAACAGTGCATTAGTGTCTTCCTATGTTCCCACATTCCCTCCAGCATCTGTCATGTTAGCCAATCTGATATAGATTTGAGGTGGTACCTTGAAGTTGTTTGCATTTCTCTAATCATAAGTGATTTAGAACATTTTTTTCATATGACTATTGATAGCTGTGATTTCTTCTTTTGAAAGTTGCCTTTCATATCCTTTTACAATTTTTAATTGGAGAAATGGCTCTTATTTTTATAAACTTGATTGATTTCCTTATATATTTAAGAAATGAGGTCTTTATCAGAGAACCTTGCTGGACAAATTTTTGCAAAATGTAGTTTTCCTGATTATCTCTTTTAATTAGGTCTATTTTTGCTTTTGTTCTGTCTGAGATCAAGATTGGTACTCCTGTCTTTTTCATTTCAGCTGAAGCAGGACAGATTCTGCTCCAGCCCCTTATTTTAACTCTGTATGTGTCTTTCTGTTTCAAGTGTCTTTCTTGTAAACAACATATTGTTGGATTCTGGTTTCTAATCCATTCTGCTATTTACTTCTATTTTATGGATGAGTTCTTCCCATTGATAGCTATGATTATCACGTTATTTCCTTTTACCCTCTTTTTCTGTTTATCCTTCTCTCTCACACTTTATCCTATCCTTTCTCAAAAGTCTGTTTTGCTTCTGACCACTGCCTCCCTAGATCCACTTTCCCTTTCATCACCCCATCCCTTTGTCTTATCCCCTAACCCTCCTTCCCTGTTGGGTAAGATACAGTTCTGTACCCAATTGAGGGTGTGTGTGTGTGTGTGTGTGTGTGTGTGTTCGTTCTTCACTTCTTGAGTCCTTCATCAAGACAAAACATTGCTTTAATCAATTTCTATTATCTATATAACCTAGTGTCCTTGCTGGGAACACCTCAGCCAATCAGGTCAACAAGCATTTATTAAATACCCACCATGTACCAGGCACAGTGCTAGATGCTGGAGTATAAAGTCCAAATTATGAAAAAATCTTTACAAACAAAGAACACTGGAAGCAACTAAATACACCCTGCATAAAAATCAAGTGAAAAAACACAAATATAAACAGTTGAGGAGGAAGGGTTCTAGCAGTTGGGGGAATCGGGAAAGACGATGCAGAAGATGGTGCCAGAGCTGTGCCTATTAAAGGAGAGCTGGGTTTGGTGAGGGAGCAGGGCCAGACCTGTGGGATAGCCCACAGATAGAGAAGGCTACTTTAGATGGTAGGAATGTCTAGTGAGGCTGGAAAGGTAGGCTGGGGTCAGGTTAAAAGCTAAACAGAGGAGTTTATATTTGATCCTAGAGGGAACATAAAGCCTTTGGAGCTGAGTAAGCAGGGGAACATCACAGTCAGATCTATGCATACAAAAAATTACCCTGACAGCAATGCAGAAGATGAACTGGAGTGGTGAGAGACTTGAGGCAGGGAGACCAATTAAGAGGCTAGTGTCGTAATTTAGGTGAGAGGTAACTAGGGCCTGGGTAGCCATGTGGCTGGAGAGAAACAGAAAGATTTGGCAACTGACTGGATACGCGGCATGAGAGAGACTGAAGAGACCAGGATAATGCTGAGCCTGGGAGACAAAAGACAGTGGAGCTTTCGATCGAAATGTGGCAGTCTGGAAGGGGAAGAGGGAAAGAAGACTCAGTTTAGCTTTGGAAGTGGTGAGTTTGAGATGCCCACAGATTATGAAGTCTGAAATGCCCCACAGGTAACTGGGGAGCTGAGATTGAACTTCAGGGAGGAGCCCAGGACCAGAGATCTGAAGATCTGTCGTTTAAGCCATGGAAGCTGATGAAGTTACTCTAGGTAACATCTGCAATGGCCATACGGCATCCAGCTGCATCCCCAATCAAAGAGATCACTGATCTAGCTGAGTAAATGTGAGACTGATACACAGTAGGAAGTACTACCTGAACGACTTGTTTTAAAATGCCAATTACTCTGGAAGTTTCTAGGCACTTTGGAATCTAAATGTGTGATTACCAATGACATTTGTTTCAAGCAGCAATATTATAAACAGACCAAAGAGGGAAGAGGCAGAAGCACATTCCTCACTCAGTCAATGAGCATTGGGTAAGTGCTTACCAAGTGCCAGACATTGCTAAAAGCCAGGGAGACAGACACCAGCAGAGACAGCTCCTGTTCTAACGGAGCTTATATTCTAACAGGGGAAGATAATCAAACACACACCAAGGGGATGAGAAGGACAGAGAATAAAGGATGGCTAGTTTGGTGCCCTCCTCAGAAAGGAAGGTTCTGGGAAGAACTCACCCATGGGAGAAGAGGGCCAAGAGATGGAGAGAGAAAGTAGCTAAGGCCAGGAGCCAAGCTGGTGGAATGGAGGATGGAGGTTTGGGCCCTTCCCAGTCAGAACAGTGGAAGATGGGCATTTCAGAATGCAATAATCTGCTTTTGGCTCATCAAGAGAATTCCCTTAGGAAGTAAGCTTCTTGTCCTACAGAAGAGAGGGCACAAACAGGAGCAATGAGGAGTGGAAGTTGAAGAAGCAAAATTCAGACCTGACAGGGGGAAAATTTCCCAAGGATTAGAGGAGGGGTTTTCAGCCTGAGGCTGGGCCCTTTTTGTGAGGATACTGTGATAACTGTGTATTTCCACATAATTGGTTTTCTTTGTGATTTAAAAACATCATTCCAGTCAGGCAGGGCCAAGATGGCCCAGAGCTGGGAAGCTGAGCAGTGAGCTCCTACAATCAGACCTAGAAAATGCCCCGGATGGAATTCTGATGGGAAACCCCAAAAAGGGTGCAGTAAGTACCCTGTCCAGCCCAGCTTGGGGTAGAGAAACAGACAGGGAAGTCTGGGAACAGAAACAGGCTATGTGAATCACTCCCTTATCCAGGAAGAGGCTCTGCACGAGGGCAGGAAAAGGTCTGGCCTTTTCAGTAAGGACAATGGCCAGCCAAGCAGTTTTGTGGTCTGCCTGGTCCCACGTTGAAGACTGAGGGCAGAGTAAGAAGGGGACCTGCACACAGGCCTGGCATTCCCAGGCAGGCAAGAAGGAAGCTCAGAAGCCAGCCAGAGCAGCAGGTGTGGCAGGCAGGCGGGTGGGCAGGCAACGGCTCCAGGAGCACAGCAGGGCCTTGCTTCCAAAGCTTAACCCAGCTTGTAGAGGAGTCGCCAGGGCAGGAATCCCAATCCAAAGGGAAGCCCACAGTTGTGCTGCTCTAAGCCAGCAGCAGCCATCTTCTCATGTTCAGACCCAAACCCAGGTCGGGAACTCAGAGAGCTCAGATCGGGAGGCACCAATCAGGCTCTGCCCTGGATGGGAGCACGGACAACCAGCCTGGCCCCGAGACCCCACAAAAGCACAACACTCAATACATCAAGAAAGCAGCACGAGGAGGCAGCCCAGATGTTCCCTCCAGAGCGGCTGCAGAGCAAAGCCCTGACGTCAAGTCCAGAGTCAGGAAGCAGGCTAAAAGAATGGGAAAAGAAAGCAGGAACCTCACCATAAGGAGCTCAGAGCTAATGGTGGCAGGGATCCTCAAGACACAAAGGGAGAAGAGGAGAACGACCCCAGAACACCTACGAGCAAGGCCCCAGACCAAAGCACAGCTCAGGCACAAACGCAGAGTGGGGGGGGGGCAGATGTAGCAACAGTGTGAAAGAGTTAAGAATGTTTTTTATAAACAGAATGAGGGCACCTGAGGAAAAAAGTGGCAATGAGATCACAGGTGACACAAGAGAGACAAAACCATGGCCAAGCAACAAACTCCCTGAAAATGTGCATGAACCAAATGAATGGGACCCCATGAGGCAACGTGGAACGATTAAAACAAAGTCAAAAGATCGAGAAAATACAAGGAAACGTCAGGGATTTCATTGCAAAGCCAACTGATGAGGAGAAAACATTAATAATGGATTCTCTGGAGTCCACGACTAAAATAGGAGCCTAAACATCTTGTTTCAAAGAAGACTACCCAAATCTCTCAGAACCAGAGGGCAAAGTGGAAATAGGAAGAACCTGTGAGCTCCTGAAAGACACC